GTGTGAGATAGTGTGACAGCTGCAAGGAAGAATAACAAATGACATGACAACCTGCATGATGTCACTTGTAAATCCAGAGTGGTTCCAGACCAACACTGCATGTGTCAATGTGTCAGAAGATAGTGGAGTGGGGTGTATACTGATGTACTATGCTGGTGTGAGAGTGTAGTTGTCCTGAAATGTGCATATGTATAGTGTGAATTATGTAATTGGTTTGTGTTGTTGAGTGTTGAAGTGTTGCCATGGTGGTGAGTTGTGTAATTGAGTGGTGTGATGGTCCAGAGAGTGTAGCTTCCAATCCAGTTGAGTTCCAGTGACGCCTCCAGTGGTGACCAAGGGTGAAATTGACCATAGAACCCAGTTCTTGAGCTATATTGAGGGATTTGTGAGTGTATATATGAGAAAAAAAAGGGTAATTGTGTGATAAAAAAAATATTTAAATGGGCCAGATGGCTACCCTTTCAAGAGAGAAGGGATCCAATCTCAGGAAGAATCCATCAAAGACAGATTGCCATGCAAGCCTGGTGAATGAATGCTATGGCAGGTCATCCTGTAGGGTACGGGTCTGATTATTGATTTCAGGAGACAATATGATGACCGTATTCTCATTAGATCCAAAAGCTATAGCAACTATTACAAGCAAAGTATCAAAGGGCCTGAGGATTCAATACATAATAGTATAGATTAAATCATGGAAAACAATTTTTTGAAGGTGACCGACTGGACAGCCCTGCTTTACTAGCCCTCTCTGAGGCTACATTTGTGTCAATAGACCTTGCTTGTGAGTTATGAAATTGGAGTGTTGGACACTGTTGTAAGCAAGATCTTAAAGGGGTTGGGACTGACAGATGATTTATTCAGTTTTGGAGCAGCAGAAGTTGCTGACTTAGGTCTGACTTTGTGTCCTTCTCGTGGCTACTGTCCCAATTCAAAGGAACAATCTCAGGGCTGATGTACTCTTGAGTCGAGTTTTTTGTCTACTTGGCAAAGGTTTCTTTGAAGTTTTGATGTAGCCTTGTTAGGTGTTGCTTCTGGGTTTGAAGGAGGCTTAACTAATTTATCCTTAGCAACTTGGGTTTGAGTGCTACAGATTATGAGTTATGCATCGCTTGAGAATAAGAACCCTTATCGCTTCCAATAAAGCTCAATAGTATCCTCACAAGCTATGGACAACTTTGCTTTGATGGTGAGAATTCTTTTTATGTTCTAGTTTGAACTAGGTGATTGCAAAAAGGGAAGAATCAAATTGTTAGATCTAAAATGTTAAAAGGGATTATGCGACTGAGTCTGAATACAATCTAGTGCCAACTTATTGGGACATGAGAATGTAATCATCCCAAGCGTACCTCTATACCTGTCCTACAAAAGAGTAAACACTTCTCTTTAGGTAGTGCTTGCTAAATCAGATGAGGCTAAAAAAGTAGATCCAAACTGTGAAAAAGGATTTTTGACCTATAAATGTCAGAAGTCATGCTGTTGGAGAGTCATGAACAGACTTGATTTCTAGTTCAGTCCGGAGATTGATTCAAATGAAAAATAAAATGAACCTTTAGGATCCGGTTGGACCTGTGGTGATGTGTGTACAGAGGAACAAATGTGGGTGAGTCAACAGTAGTGAGAAGGCAATGGTGAGATGTTTGTACGGAGGAGCAAGGGGCTGGTGACGTGAGCCGGCAGGTACCAAGTCCAAGTCAGGTTGCCAGGCTGGTTGGGTGAGTCGACTGCCTGGTGATGGGTGACCCCTAGCAAGGGGGGACTTGGGTGTTTTTTTTTCGAGTCAGATTACCTGGGGAGGCTAGGGAAAAGCATCTTGTTGTCCCTAATGAGCTCCCTAGTGACTGAAGTTTCCAAGTCAGGGTTCAGAGATTCCAGTAAGAGTTCCCTGATTCCTCAAAGCTATTAGAGTATCCCATCCTGAAGAGATAAGTGTTAACTGATTCAAATTTGGTCCTGAAATTCTTGAATTCCTTCAGAGTTGACCAATTTCTTCAAGTCCTGCCTAGAGTATTTGACCAAAGGAAGAGAAAATCCAAACCTGTTGAGTAGTTGTGCCTTCAAAAGTTCCCAGTCTGAGTCCTCGTGGCCAGCCATTTCTTTCACTTCATCGTTGAGATACATTCCATGAATAAAAGATATAATTTGTCTGGCCAAAACTTGAGCAGAAGCATCATCAGCTAACTTAGCATCCTCACACCTCTTATTTTCCCACGGGCATGTTGGTTCCATTAAAGAAAAGTTCCTTATCCATGGGCTTGATTTTGACTGATTTGGTGCTGGTTCCTTTGTACAGTCTCCTCCCAGATGTTTATAGCCATCTGTTTTGATCTCCACACCGGGAACCCGAAAATTCCAACTCAAAATGGTTGGTGGAATGGTGGAAAATGGGTCTCAAAGAATGAATATGAAAAAATAATAATGATAAACAATTATAAAATTTGTAAAAAGTAAGAAGGAGAAAATCACAAAAACTGACAGCTCTAATATTTCTTTCAGGAAAAGATGAAATCTCTAAAGAGATAGTATGAGATCTCAAATGAATAATAAGAAGTGAAAATTTGGAAAACAAATGACTACATGGTGGTTTAAAAAGGGTGTCTAGGGGGTCAGTCATTAATCAAGAAATGTGGCATTCTGGTACTGCAATATACTAATTTTGACTGCAGGGTGTCCACCCACCATGCTCAAACTGTTTTTCAATCAATATTTTCAATTTATAATCATTCTTTTCATGTTCCAAACTTGCCCTCTGTGTGTTCACTTTCAAAAAATTAAACTTTTCAAAAAAAGTTGATTTTCTTTTGTCTTTTTCACAAATTTTAAAATCTTGTTTTTTATTAGTATTTTGTCATATTCATTCTTTGAAACCCGTTTTCCACCATTCCTCATACTCTTGTGACTTGTAGTTTTTGGGTTCCTGCTGTGGAGCTCAAAGCAGATGGCTATAAACATCTGGGAGGAGACTGTACTTGGGCAAAACTGGTTCCTTGTCTAGAAAGTGAGTGTCCAAATCACTTGTGAATGAGTGGGCTAATGGCTGATTGTTGTCAATATTGTTTGATCTGGCAGAAGAATGAGAGCTGGCCTGTCCAAGCTTGAAAGTGGAGGGTGCTACATTACTGTTGGTGTATTCCTGGCCAGGGTAGGTGTTGATGTTAAGTCTAGTATCTTGAGACATATTATTCTGATTGATTGAGAAAGTTGTTGACTGATGTGTTATGGTTATTCAGGAGAAGCAGAGGGCAGCAGATGTAACATGAGGAAGAAGAGAGCAATAATTGACGAAGGAGTTCTGGGAAGTGAAAAGGTAATGAATATGTAGTCTGATTTATGAGAAGATGAGAACTGATAAACTGAGGAAAATAAACTGGGAAGAAGTTTGATAAAGATGTGGCTAAAGTGAAGTTTCTGAGCTGACTAATATTCTGTAGATATCTGGGGAATTATTAATCTGGACTAGAGGGAAAGGGATATGAGGGACAGCAAGGAAGAGAGAGGAAAGTAGGGGGAAGGGTATGTAGGTAGTGATACTGGAAAGCTGATAGTAATAGTGTTACTAGGACTAAAATCTAAAGGAAGTCATGCCACTGTTGGGACACCACATGTGGAACTACTTAACCAGGGAGATAGAGCTTGGAGGGGATATAGACAACTACACTAGTAATAATGTAAGTTGATACTACAGGTGCTGATGAGGCTGCCCTGCTGTACAATGCTGATGGGAAAAGTGTAACACTAAGAAAAAGAAGAATAAAGGTGTGGCTGATTTCTACTTTATTTTAGACTACTATTACTGATGAGCTTGTGTATGAGGTGTGAGGGGATAATACTGGCAAGGGTGTAACACTGGCTGGCAAATGAGGATTTATAACTGGCAAGGGGGGATTTATAACTGGCAAATAAAACTGCAATGATATCTGGTAAAGATATAAGGGTGATACTAGTGTTGTGATTTCTAAGACTATGGTTAGAGGATAATTCAGACAAGGTACATAGCATGAGGGGAAAATACATGAGGAGGAAGGAAGGGCATATGTGTGTACGACATGTACATACAACAACAAAGCCCCATGGCTGGGGAAATCCTGGCTATGGGTAATGTGAATCTTAAACAGTAATGAGTGATGAGAAATAATGTAACCTAGAGATATAGATGTTCTGTGTATACAAGTGCTAATCAGTGATGGAAAGTCAAAGCTGTGTCAAAAGAAATATGTACATGATGTATATGATGTAATGTAGTTAAGGTTATGCTGAATATGTTGTATTGGTGATGTACCATGATGAAAGAGTGATGCTCCATAGATACTGTAACTAGATAATGAGTGCTGTATATGTACTGTATGTATCAAGTAATGCAATATTCTGTAACTATGAATATACTGATGAGATGATAACTAGAGAACTATAAGAGCTACTGAAAAGATGTAAGAGATGACTGGGGGTGAAATGATGTGTAAAATCTGAGTATGAACTAATACTGGGAAGAATATATTTAGAAATGATGTGAAAAATGAGGATACATGGAAAGGTATGGACATACCACATTGGTAATCAGCTTGCCACGGTTGATGTCCCATCTTGGTTAGTGCTAACCAGGTGGTTTACCATACACATTGAGAATCAATCAACTGAGTAAAAAAGGGAACACCCCTGTAATGTGTGACAAGTTGGCCAGTGGGAATTGGATGGGTCAGCAAAAACACCTAAAAGCAGTGTTCATAAATCAGATCAGTTTCTGTTTTTGGTTCCCTGCAATCAAGTGAGGTACTAACCCCAACTACGTGAAAGGGTCTTCTGAATGGACAATTGCTTTTGATGGCCCCTGCCAACTGTCCAAAGCATTCAAATAGTATTAAAAATGTGTGCAAACAGTGTTGCAATCTCATTAGATAGAGAAAACTTACCCTATTGACACAATTATGGCTACACCCTCACTACATAGCATATCATGGTCATGGTCAGTTGCTGGTAGAATTAGGGGCCATCTAAAAACTGCTGACTTAATTTGGAGTTACATTGAAATAATGGGCACAAATATTCCAGGAAAAAAAGGCTATAGACCTGGGGTTGAGATCTCCATGTTTGGGTTTCTTGGAGTGAGGATGTTGTGGTTTACAATTGGAGACATAGGCAAAGCCTTCAATGTCTTGCACACTGGGATCCAGGTTGACATCAAGTGTCTTGGTGGCTTGTATGACCATCTTTGACTGATAGATTCAACACTTGCAATCCGGATTGTCCAAACAGTCCCCCTCACACTGGCATTGCCAGGTGGGAGGAGTCGGCCGCTTGTTGTTTTGGCAGACCACCCTGGTTTGAATTGGAAAAAGGCATGGTGTGAGCTTGGAAAAGTTGGCAAAATTATTTGTTAACACAACACCAATCATCACTCACCAGTCTGTGTATGAAAATTGGAGTGGTGGTGCCAGGGATTGATCCAATCCCGTGGATTTCCCTTCTTCTTCTAAATTGGTTGTTTTCTTTGTGCGGATCCACATGGTGAGTTGTCTGAAACAGTAGTAGATAAGGTTAAAGCCACTCAACTGAATCTTGAATAATCTGTACTTTCATCTCGTCAGGCAAAACACAATGTGTGGGATCTCAGGACTTTCCCACATTTGGTTAGTGTTGATCTCCTCACTAAAAATAAGATGGCCAAGATGGGTGGTAAGATCTGGATTGCGAGTGAGTATCCATGGTATCTGCAGTTTGGTTTTGAATTCATCTGGTCTTTCCTGGCCTTGTAATGGTTGGCGGTTAGAGGGTATCTAGGACTAATCAGGAGATGCAGGCTTTGAATGTGTGAGAACCCAATGTTATAGCAGAGCAATGACATCTCTGCATGATCTGAGCAACACACATTACTTTTGCAGACCTTGGTAGCGCTTATTTAGAGGTGAAGCTATGAAGGGTTGGTTGACATTTGAGTCCTATTTAAAACAAGAAAAAATAGACTCAATGTCTCATGAAACTTTGCTGGAAGCTGAATGTAAACTTGCAGTGATGGGTTTCCCATTGGTAGCTCCGTGAATAGCTGAACCAGACACAGTGCAACTCCCAACCTTGAGCCTTGAGCGTACCCAGTGGGATGGCAGGCAATGGGAATGAGGGTGGGTAACATGCCCGTGCTAGAGGTCTAGCAACTTGCTCAGAGGAAACAAAATTTGTTGTTGGATGATGGGAGGACTAGAGGGGAGCAAAAACAAGAAGATGTGTGGAAGTATTGAGGACACTGCAAAATCCAGACTTGATTAGCATCTTTATTCTTTCCACTTTGCTTCATGTTGATTGTTCACTAGGGTTCTTTTGCACTACCAGGCTGTGGGCATAACTAGCCACAAATATTTCTACAACTTTATTCATATTGATCTTCATGATCTCTGGTTGAATCTGACCTGAACTGTAATCAATGAGGGTGAGATTGCCCAACATTCAAATCATCACTTATAAACGGCTGGCAATGACTTCAATTACATAACAGATCTCCAATATGCCTTGCAATAAAAGGCTCCTATGAGTGGGAGGAAGGATGAGTAGGTTTGAAAATTGTGCAACTAATCAAACAGTGAGATCAGAAACACAACAGACAGAATCAAATTCTTGTAGATCATAAAGTAAAATGGTTTGCTTGATATTCAGTATGATTGCAAAGACCAGACCCAATGGATTGAATGCAACACAAGGTTGTCCGGCAGTGTTCAGAACTCTCAATTAGATATTTCAGTGATGAAAATTTGAAATCAGCCAGCAGAAAAAGAGCTTAAGGCAATTTCAATGTCAACACAAACCTGGCATGAAGGTGATTGTAGATCCCATAATTGGACGGTGTTGTCAGTAGAGCCAAATAATTCAGTGTCATCACGGGGGGACATTTCCAAGGATACAACCCTTTTTTTTGGAAGCAAAGTATGAAAAACTTCTCAGTGTGTTTCTTGAAAAACTTCTCAGTGTGTTTCTTGTGTTTATATTATCAAATTCAACTCACCGTTGTTTGTGTCCTTTGAAATATCCCAGGGATTAAACTTTCTTTTTCTGTAGCAGTGCTGCACATTTGCACACATGGCTCCAACAGTTGTGAGTGCCAGGTGTTTAATGAATTTTCTATAGTGGTGCTTCACATTAGCCATAACTTCATGTGATTCAAATCCTAGCTCTGAAAATTACCTAACCTATTTGCAACTGCTCTATGAAGTTTATTTGGAACTTAGCAGGCAGTTCTTTTCAGCTGACCAACAAAGTCAAATGTCCATTTCAATTTCAATTTAAATTACCACTTGCTTACATACAATTGAATACTATACAATTTTCTTTCTTAAATTTCCAAACTGATATTGATTTGGATCACAGGTATTTATTAGAGATGGCCCCATCGCATCTGGATATCCGCTTCCTTTTTCAGCAGAAGGAGATATCCACAGATATCATGTACCTTGTTAACCAGAAGGTCTTCCTTGCGGCCAACCATGTACCTTCTTGACCAAAAGGTTTTCCCTTTGGCCAACTAGGTACATGTACCTTAGGTTCTACCTTGTTGGTTTCAAAACACTACCATCTCAAGGCCAAGAGGGGATTCCTTTAGACTGTAGAAAGTCTCTTGGCCTCAGGTATCCCTGGAGATACCTGGATATTGGCCAGGATTTTGAGGAAAAGTGGACATCTGCACCCCAATTTATAACAGGTATCCGCAACATAGACCCTGAGACTATCTCTAGTATTTATCTTGCTTAAAGTTAATTATAGAGTTTTATCCAACAAATTATCCTTCCAGTTTGGAATCATTGAAGTACTTAGTTCAAACAGAATTTATGCATTTAAACAACTGCTACCTCTTTTTTGCACTTTCTATACATTCCACTGGGTAGTTGTGTGAAATATGGGGAGTTGGAATAAATTTGACCACTTACATAATCTGGCTCTGTGTTGAGTTGACATGAATTAAGCAGTGGGGCCATCCTTGAAACTGGGTTGAGCTGGCTGGGGTGTGTAAAGGAGTTGCGTGGAGCTGTGTAGTGGAAGCTGGGTTGAGCTGTATCTGTGTGGAGCTGCATTGAGGTGGATGGGCTGGCTGAGGTATGTACAGGAGCTGTGTAGAGCTGGTTTGAGCTGGATGGATTGAATGAGGTGTATACAGGAGCTGTGTGGAGCTCAACTCATTGAGTTGGTTTGAGTGGATGGGCTGGCTGAGGTGTGTACGGAAGCTGTGTGAAGCTGTGAAGTGGTGGGAGCTGGGTTGTGCTGGATGTGCAGGGGAGCTGGGTCAGCTCACCCTACCAAAAGTACCATTTGTTTTTGACAGAAACTGTTTGGACCATGTCTGGAAGGTTAATAATGATAAAATAAAACCCCCTGAAGCTTCCTGGGGAGAAAAAATTCAGGCAGCTCAGCTGAGCTCCCCCAGCTCCACTGTGAATCCGGCTTTAAACAAAAGGTGATGAGATATTTATCATTGGTTTAAAGCAGAGAAATTGGATTCACACAGGTGAATGATTTTATTGGCAAGTCTGAGAACTCATACTGCTTGTTGCTTTAACCGTTTTGCTTATGTTGTGCATGAAACTTCAAAACTTTAGACAAGATGTTGTTAAGCCTTGCTTGTCACACAAATCTTATTTGTGAACAATCAGCTACATGAACTGGCCTAATGGAAGGACCAGAGATGATCCTGAGCCCCAGTCTTCCAAAGTTTGTGGGGGGTTGCATCTACAATTTAATAAAAACAAGCATGGCACCCACAAATTAAGCAAAACAAGCACCATCAGGAGTCATCAATGAGAAACATAATGTCGATGTACCTTGAGTGAGGAACTAGCTACAGATGCAAGATTGCAAGAGAGTGACAAGGAAGAAAACAGTACAGCTTCAATCACAAACTGGCTCTAGATGCAGTGTTGTAAGAGAGTGACAAAACAACAGTATTCAGAAACTTAGTGACAATTTTAAATGCAAATATGTCAAGGTTCTATTATGCCCTTCTGGATACTGTTTCAAAGTGACCTGGAGGAATGAAATGATGCATATTAAATTGTTGACTGGCTACAGAGATGTAGCAGCACATAAAAGAGCCATGAAACAGCAATATTTGGCAAGTAGGTCCAACCCAGATCCCCTTTGTCTTTATAGTCATCAGTCAAAACATTTTTCCAACTAATAACAGCCACACAACTCCTCATACTCTAAGAGAGGACTCCCATTCAATACACCTATGTTTTCCATCTGATTAATTGCTACATTAGTATTAGTAGTCATGGGCCTGCATTGCAAATGTACCCATAAAATGCAATACCAACACGTGGGAGGGATGCTTCTGGGAAGGTATGTTTGGTAATGGCTCATCTGAAGTTTGCTTCTCCTGCTTAAAAGTCAGTTTGTAGGCATTAGCTCATGTCCAACCAGACAAGCACTTGTCTAAACTCTAAACAGTGCCTGTCCTAATGCTCTTGGTGACGGAGACAATGACACAGAAGAGAGCAAGTCTGAACATAATCCAGGCAAAGACAACGGCCATGACCTTCAGGACATCAATACAGATGGTCAGAACAAGCATCAATTGACTGCCCTGATACTCCAAACCTTCTGACAATTGAGATGCACTTTTGTATTGCCCAGGTCTGTTTCTTGGGGAAGCAGAACATATCCAGGGGCTTGCATCATGCCTTGATCTAAGCCAAGTTGAAGAACAGCTGTCCAATATCCAAAAAAAAATTCTCTTCCTTATGCAAGTTAACTTCCCCAGCCGTTACAGTCTCTCTTTCCAGCCAAAAGGGAGAGTTGTACAAGAATGGGTCAAAGCTGTGGAGGAAAAACATAAGCTCATCAACTATCTTTTTTATGAGAGTGTTTTCTGATTGAAATTTGATTGGGCTAAGTAAATGATTTTTTCAAAATTGAAACATTTTGCCACCTCTCTCTTTTGGAGTTCATCAATGTTAATCTACTGCACAAGCTTCTGCAATCTAATGGCAACAAACCTTTGCCCTCAAAAGCTGCCAACCTTGCTGTAAAGACAGTACTTGTGTGTAAGAATCCTCTGGAAAAATTGAAGACAAAGGTTCCTCACATTCTGACAATATTGATCCTACTGGCAACAGAGAACAAACCTCTTGTCAAACTCAACAACACCCTTTGGACGCATGTTACTTCAGCAGAGAAGGCTTACAAGGACTTTGTGGCCAAGGTTGGATCAATTGCAAAGGCCATCTGTTTGATGCAGAAACAGGTTGTGCACTGCCAAAAAAGCAACACCGTACTTCTTAATAGGGGGATTTCATGGGCTCCTCCTTGGCTCTAGAAAAAATATATGCAGCCCGCCACCTGCATCTCTTAGCATTGGCTGGAAACCAGAGTAAGCCACTTTTTTTGGAATCATTCAAATACTTACAGCTGATCAATGATTGTCCAAACAGACTTTGACTCATTTTTGCCGCAGACTTCTTGGTATCTGCTTCATCTCCTCCAACAGACCTTAAAAGAACAAACAACTTTTGAATTAGACAAGGTTGAGCTGGCAAAGCTCATTGCCCTTGACTTTCTCAAATTTTGGTCCAGTACAAACAAGTAACAAGTTCCAGGGATTAGACTTCTAACCTCAAAGAATGATGATCTGCTAAATTTCAACTCAAATCTTATATGAGCCACATTCAGAACTTGTCTTTATGTCTTTTTTTAATTGGCTGCTTTGTTTATGCCTCTCACTAATGATCTCAAATTAGTTTCTGACTCTGCACTTTCTTGGAAGGATGCCCTTGGTCTCAGTTGCTTGAGGAGTTAGTGAGCATGAGCAAAAGTGCCCCTCCAACATGTCCTACCTCATGCAAGTGAAGACCAAGAGCCATTGGGCATGACCAAGCAAAATGTGTGCATTGAGCTCAATAGAGAAGGTGGTGAGCTGGTTTGGATACTCATACTCAGCTGTTTGAGGGTTGGTGATAATGAGCAAGAGTACCTTCTCCCACATGCTGTTGCTTGTGCAATTGAATGCCAAAATCCATGGGGCATGACCAAGCAAAGATCATATTGAGCTCCTTGGTGAAGGGGGCTCTTGCTATTAGTCTCACCTGCTTCTCCCTCCTACATGCCTTTGCTTGCGGAAACAAAGGCACTTAGGAGAGGGGGAGGCAGGTGAGATTAATAGCAAGAGCTCCCTTCACCAAGGAGCTCAGTACCATTGGGCCTGACCAAGCAAATGTGTCCCCTGAGCTCAATGGAGAAGCAAGGGCCTCTGTATTTTTTTCAGCCTGCTGTTCAATGTGATCTCATGTGGTGGCCAACAGTGAAAGAGCTAAGGTTAGGAATATCAGGAGGGGGCTGTGGTGGGGAGGAGAGGATTTAAGATTCTGAAGACAAAAATTGTCCGTTGGGATTGACTGCTGCTCATGCAGAGATGCATAGTTCAACCAGACCAGTGAACAGTGGAAAAGAAGCCCAAAAAATTCCTTTGCTCTGCCTGGGAGACCATCAGTATGCATGACAGATCTGTTAAGCAGCCTTACCTATACCAACTTCAACCTGTCATCAATTGGACAGGATTAAACATAAATAAATTTCAATGAGTGCAGCTGTCAAGGTTGATCTGGGTATAATATCTTCCTGTACTGACATGACTTCATGACTCGGTCCATGCTCTTTAATGCCTGCCAAAGCTTCTATAGCTGCTTTAGCATCACTGGCCACCCTTGCTAAAACTTCCTGGGCAAAATCCTTGTCAGCTAGATTGAAAGAACCCTTGACCCTGGAGGAATTGGTACTTGCTTCAATCAAGAAGAAAAATGTATCAAACCTCACCCTGGATTTGAACTCAACCAGACTTATGTGGCCAGTTTGGATAATCAACCCCCAAGAGGCCCACAAATTGTAGTATGGAAAGATCTTCAATAAATTTTGGAAACCTGCAATAGACCTCCTGAATTCTGAAGCAAATATGGAAAATATGGGCAAAATATTAAACACAAGTCAGCCATGTTCTTTGTGTCAGAAGTTTGAATCAAAAGAAGAAAAAAACCATATCCCCATGTAGTTGTCACATCCCCAGACCTCCAGAAATTTGTTCTTAAAGCTCTAAATAAATAACTGGGCCACAAAGGAATGGATGAAACTTACAGAAGGACCAAGCTCAGATTTTGGTGACCAAGCATGAAAAGAACTGTCCAAAAATTGGTTCAATAATCTTCTGTTCCCTGTTAGAAAAGAAGCTCTTCAAAACCCTTCAAAGAAAAGAAGGCTACAGCAAAATCAACACTGTTGGGAAGAGTCAGCCTGGGCACTGTTCACATCAAAGCTAAGAAATGGAAATACCTGGTTGTGGCCAGAGACGACCTATATGGATGGGTGGAAGCAGCTGGACTAGAACAAATTACAACCAGGAAAATTGCTGAATGGTTCCAGGAAAATTGGATTCCCACATATCTCTCTCACTGCTGTAGTGGATGTTGGTTCAGAGTTACAAAAGTCCCTCACTCAAGCTGAGTCCATAGTCAAAGTCAATCACCCTGAAGCAAATGGATTGGTATAAAGGAAGCATAAGCCAAGCAAGGCCACTCTGTTCAAAACATCATGTAAAATACATGGCAAAAAGTGTGGAAATTTCCTTCATCTGGTTTTCCTTTCTGACAGAATTTCCATCAAAATAAACACTGGCTACTCCCCCTAGGAAATGATTTTTGAAAAACCTGCTATCCTCCCTGTGGAATTAGAATGAGAAACTTACCTTGGGACCAACTGAGAAGAAATTTCAACCACTGGATAAGTGCTCACAGGTGGAGACCTGCAGCTGTAAAGAACACAAGAAGCCCTTTGAGAGGCTTACAAGAAAATGAGAGAAGCCAGAGATCAATCCCTTAAGCCCCAAAACCTGAGGAGTAATGTCAGCAGAAACCCTTTGTTACCTAGTCAACTTATTCTTGTCTATAAAAAATCCTTGGACTCTCAGTGGGGCAAATTGTTTGAGAATAGATGGAATGGCCCTTTTAGAATTACCAAACAGGAAGAAGGAGGGGTGTAAAACCTTGCAGAAATGGATGGGAAAAATTCAAAAAGAAAATACCCAGCATCAAAAGTCAAATCCTTTTCATCTAGGGAATACTCTTGGGCTAATTTCTACTTGACAAGCTTTCTTTCTGCATGAATCTGTGAAATTAATCCAGAAAATCTTGACCTATCAATTTTGGAAAAAAAAGAATCAGCATCAATTTCATTTGTCATCCAAAATTCTACTCAGAAGAAAAGAAGAAACCAGCAAAGAATTTCAAATTCCTCCTTTTTTCACTTACACTAGTTTACCAAGGCCATGGTCATCTCATCAACATTGGCCAAAATCCTGTCCATCTCATTCATTATCTCCCAGTATAACCATGATTGGAGTGCGGTGCAGCAGCAGACCCTGGTGTCTGCTCTAGCTTAACTAAGCCTCTCGATTGGAGGGTTGGCATTGGGCGGCCAACCCCGCGTCCCAAAGGGACGCTCTCCGAAGGAGAGGCTTATGTGTAAAGTTGGGGCTGTCACCCGAGTACATCGAGTTCTTAGTCTGCAAATGAGGAAAAATGATTTCAAAAGTTAATTAAAAAAACTCCACAACTTCTTCTGATAAGCCATCCTGTCCAGTTGTACCTTGCCTTCTCAGTCGTCTTCTGTTTTTTTTTGTAAACTTTGACCCAAAAACGGCTGCTCGCCGCCCGTTTTTGTAACTTTGAAAAGCCATAGCATACTCTTTTTTGACCCTGCGGATTCTGCTTGGGTCGGATCAATAAGATTCTCACAGTTTTTTGGGTATTGGCTTAGCGTATTATTGAAAAATTTGAAATTCAGCATTGTAATTTAGTTCAATACTAAATTGAGAAGTTCACATAGTATAGTTGTAGTGAGATACATATCTAATAGGTATGGTGTTGGATAAGTATGTTTAAATCTCCAGATCAATCCAAGGGATTATCTGTGGATGATTCAGGCAGATCATCAACAAAAAGCTGTTTATCCATCTCCTTAGTTACCAGCTGTGCCATGTAACCTGTTCTCTCTGGGTTGATTCTAGGCCACAAAATGGCAAGGCTTTCAATGGTACACGCGGCAAGACCTCAATCTGAGTTGTTGTAGGGGATATTGGGGCCTGAGTGATGTCCCCAGCCAAATGGCTGGTCGCCCTCACGCTAGATGTGACACATTATATGCAAGTCCCTCCTGCAGAGGCGCTTTGCGCCTCCGCAGGAGGAGGGGACTTGTGTTAAGCTAGGTGTCTGCTGAGGTGCAGTAGGAGAAGGAATCTAGATTCCAGAAATACTCAATAAGCTTTGTAATGACACATTGGCACATAGTGTGCACAATTCAGTCTTGAACTACCTTGTCATAAGATGGTCCTCTGTTGGCAGTGGTTAACTCCCCTTCCAGGTTTGATGGAGGTGTGTTAAAATTATAGGTAGAATTAGTGGTTTTGCTGCTGGGTAAGTTAGAATAGCTAATGGCTGAAGGCAAGTGATACCCCCCAGATGCTTGTGGCCACAAGCAGCAGGCTTGGCCAATGCCATAATGATGGAAAGCTCTTGTTTTCTGAATGAATGTGGACATAATCTCTCACACAGTGGCATGTGT